GTATCTTTGTGTGTGATTGTGTGTGTGGTGTGTATCTGTGTGTCGTGGGTGGGTGTGTGGATAGAATGTGGGTGCGTGTGGGTGGGCATGTGGGTAGACTGTGGGTGCGTGTGGGTGGGCGTGTGGATAGAATGTGGGTGCGTGTGGGCGGGCGTGGTGTGCAGTGTGGGTGTGGGGTGTGTGTGTGGAGGGTGTGCGTGCGCACGTTGTGTGCAGTGTGGATGTGGGGTGTGTGTGTGGAGGGTGTGTGTGTGCACGTTGTGTGTGGTGTGGGTGTGGGTGTGTATGTGGTGTGTGTGGGGGTGTGTGTGTGCACGTTGTGTGCAGTGTGGGTGTGGGGTGTGTGTGTGGAGGGTGTGTGTGTGCACGTTGTGTGCGGTGTGGGTGTGGGTGTGTGTATGTGGTGTGTGTGTGGGGGGTGTGTGTGTGCACGTTGTGTGCAGTGTGGGTGTGGGGTGTGTGTGTGGGGGGTGTGCGTGCGCACGTTGTGTGCGGTGTGGGTGTGGGGGGTGTGTGTGGGGGGTGTGTGTGGAGGGTGTGTGTGTGCACGTTGTGTACGGTGTGGGTGTGGGTGTGGGGTGTGTGTGTGGGGGGTGTGTGTGTGCACGTTGTGTGCGGTGTGGATGTGGGTGTGTCTGTGTGGTGTGTTGGGGGGGTGTGTGTGTAGTGTGTGTGCCTGTGGTGTGTGTGCACGTTGTATATGGTGTGGGTGAGGGGTGTGTCTGTGTGGTGTAGTGTGTGCGGGGTGTGTGGTATGTGGTATGTATCTCTGTGTGTGATGTGTGGTATGTATTTGTGTGAGTGGTGTGTGTGGGGTAGTGTAGTATGTATCTGAGTGCACAGTATCTTTGTGTGTGATTGTGTGTGTGGTGTGTATCTGTGTGTCGTGTGTGTGGTGTGTGCTGTGTGTCTGTGGTGGGGTCTTCCTGGGGACTGAGACACGTGTAGGCAGGGCCTGCTCCTCGCTGCCGGCTTGGGCTGGCTTGCGTGGCCACGGGGCAGCACCCGTGCCCGCTTCCTGGGAGGGCTCCCGCATAGGGTCTGCCTTCCACAGAGGCCGCGGCTGCAGACACAGAGGCTGGGCCCGGCAGGAGGGTGGAGGCGGCCCCGCAGCCCAAGGGTCCACTTGCTGCAGGCGTGGAGTGGAGGAACCCCCAGGGCCAGCCTGTCCCCAGCCTGGACTGACTGGGGCCCACATCGTGAGCCATGAGGACACAGGAGACCCGTCCCTGGCTCATTCCCCAGCCTTCTTCTTAAGCTGGCCTTGTACCAAGACGGCCAGGAGAGGGGGTCCCCTGGAGGAAAGGGCGTCCCGCCGCCTCTCATGCACCCACAGCTCTCCCACCCTCTCGTTTCCACATCTGCTGCTGTCAGTGCCAAGTCCAGGCGGCGTGAAGGCAGCTTCTTCCTGGAGGAGCCCTGGAATGTGGGCACGCACAGGCTCCCCCAGCCTCTGCGGTGAGCCTCCTCCGGGCCCGAGGGGCCACCTGAGAGAGCACCTCCACTTGCCCTCGACCACGTGGCTATGGCCTGAGCCCGTGCACGCCTGCCTGGTCAACACCAGGGGAGCCGGGGGCCGCTCAGCAGCCCCACCCCGCCGTGCTATGAGCACCAGTGGCAGCTTCCCGGGAAACCCCTGCGTTTGGAGGAGTCTGTCCCTTGAATTCCACAGCGGCGAGGACGCCCGTTTGCAGAGGCAGGCCGTGAACGAGGAATGAGAAACACCTTTTCTAAGGGAGCTGCATTCGGGGCCCCTGGCCGGACTGAGGGAAACACAAGCCGAGACGGAAGGCCCGTGTCCCGGTCCCCTCTGAACAGTGTTGGTTGCTAGGAAGGCAGGTTCCAAAGGAGTCAAAACTCCAGGTGGGGGACGGGACGCCTACACCCAGAGCCCTGCAGATCTCCAGCCACGGAGGTCCTGCCGCAGACAGCGGGCGCCTGACTCACCGCGGTTAGGGAGCAGGGGGCTGGTGCTCCAGGGGAGAACTTAGCCGCCCTCCCGCTGGCAGGACACTGTTTCCGGGGGTGCTGAGGCTGTTAAGAAGCGGCGGCTGCAGGGATGCACAGGTCTGGACCTGGACGGCAAACCATGGCAGCCCCCGAAACGGCGGACTTCGCCTGGGGTCACACGACAACCTCGAGCTCTCTGAGGGCGGCACCGCCACGGAGGAGCAGCCGTTGGGGCTGATGCCCGGGCATGAGAGCTGCAGGCCCAGCCACCTCCCAGCAGCAGCAGGGAGCCCAGTCCTCGCCTGGCCTGGGCCAACACTGGACCTGCCTCGGGTGCACGCTTGAGGCATAGCAACACATGCCTGTCCACACGCACCTGTCCACCAAGTACACACCCACAGCAGCCACATTCACCCCCACACAGCTATACACACCCACACACCAGCCACACACACCCATACACCCAAACACCCACACATCCACACACCAGCCACATGAACCCACACACAATCCACACATCATCCACACACAGCCACATACCATCCACACACCATCTACACACCCACACACCAGCCACACACCATCCACACATGTCCAAATACAATCCCACACTTCCACACACCATCCGCACACACACCCACATGCACCCACATTCTATCCACACACCCACCCACAGGTGCACATGCACCATCCACATGTACCAACATGCGATCTACATGCAACAGCATGCCATCCACACACATACCCACAGACTGTCCACACACACCCCATCTACACATACACACAGCATCCATGCACGCACACACCATCCACACACCCACCCACATTCTATCCACACAGCCACCCATACGCACCACAGACCGTCCACACACCCGCCCCCACGCACCCACAGTCTACCCACACACCCACCCACACCCACCCACATTCTACCCACACACTCACCCACATTCTATCCACACACCCACCCACACCCATCCACATTCTATCCACACACCCGCCCACACGTACCCCCAGTCTACCCACACAGCCACCCACACGCACCCACATTCTATCCACACACCCACCCACACGCACCCACAGTCTACCCACACGCCCGCCCACACGCACCCACATTCTATCCACATGCCCACCCACACGCACCCACAGTCTACCCACATGCCCACCCACACGCACCACAGACCGTCCACACACACACCATGTGTGACACTCACCATTCACACATTACACATCCACACGCCACATGCACCCCCCCACATGCACACAAACTCCTGCCACAGAGCCGCGGCCTCTGAAAGGCCACAGAACTGGGTATTTAAGTGACGTGCCGTGAAATCTCTCTCAACAAATTAGAGCCTAGCTCCCCATCCTGAATTCTTTACCAAACAGACTTTAAAACAAAGCTCTCAGGAGGAGAATTAGGGCAAAGCACAGCTTCTGGAAGATGTCTTGAGGTCATGTTATTATACCTGACCCCCAATTCCTTCAAAGGGTTTTAATGGGGGTCTCAGGTCAGTGGGACCACTGAGTCACTGGAGAAAAGCTTTTATTCACTGGTGAGTGACGTCCCGGCCCTGGGCGGCAGGTGGAAATCCCTCCAACCTTCCCCGACCCAGGCTGCACAAACCTATTTTATTGCTAAAAAATGTCTTAAAACAGTTGAAGATATACTTCTAGAAGAACAGTTTAACTTGTGAAACTGATTCATTCTGGCTTTTGGTCTTAAAGCTGCCTAGACAAGAAACGCTTGAAGCCCTCAGCATGGCCCTGTACGTGACAAATGCCGCACTGGAGCCATCGAGGGACACAGCCACTCACCCCTTCGGACTTCTTGTCGGGGAAGACGCACGTTGAGCCCCCAGCCGTGAAGTTGCAGTAAACCTTGAAGGAATCCCTGGAGCATCCTTGGTTAGGATCGACCCAGTATTCACCTGGATTTCAGAGACGGGGAGGGAGGCAGGCAGATTCATGAGGATTGCTCCCTGGATGGTTCCGGAAGCCGCTACGACATTTCAGCCGAGCAGTTAAAATGCATGCCCTAGGAATGCTGCCAACACGCGCCTTTCTGGGGTTTGCTTTATTGCATTTTGTTTTCCCTGCTGGGTCCATAAAGAGATGTGGACAAACTCATTCACCAAGAACACAGCTGGGGCATGAAGCAACTGGGTACGTGTTCTGGTGGCCGGGAGGGTTGGAGTCCAGCCCACGCTCTGGGCGGACAGAAATGCAGAGAGGGTTCTGGAAGGAACTCTGGAAATCCATGCATGTGGGATCAGAGTCTACTGGAACTACAACATCCCTCGAATCTTGTAGGGGGAACGTTCAGACTTCCCAGGGAGAGACAAGCTCGTGTGATTTTATCCTTCAGTTGGTGCCTGATGCAATGACAATGAGAAGGAGGATGCGTTTTTATGGTATTGCAGAGTTTGAAGACTGTTTGCCCGAGTGCAGCGTCCGATGCCGGTCCAGACACTGACCCTCACTTCCGGCTGGCACTGACCCTCACTTCCGCCGGCACTGACCCTCACTTCCGCCTGGCACTGACCCTCACTTCCGCCGGCACTGACCCTTACTTCTGGCTGGCACTGACCCTCATTTCCGGCTGGCACTGACCCTCACTTCCGCCGGCACTGACCCTCACTTCTGGCTGGCACTGACCCTCACTTCCGCTGGCACTGACCCTCACTTCTGGCTGGCACTGACCCTCACTTCCGCCGGCACTGACCCTTACTTCTCGCTGGCACTGACCCTACTTCCGGCTGGCACTGACCCTTACTTCCGCCAGCACTGGCCCTTACTTCCGCCGGCACTGACCCTCACTTCTGCCAGCACTGACCCTTACTCTGGCTGGCACTGATCCTTACTTCCGCCGGCACTGACCCTCACTTCTGCCGGCACTGACCCTTTCTTCAGCTGACACTGACCCTTACTTCTGCTGCACTGACCCTTCCAGCTGGCACTGTGCCAGCCAAAGGCCTCTCATGCACTGTCTCGTGCAGCTCTGTCCTCTTCCAGACAGATGTTTTTATTACCATTGGAGAGGTCAGGAACACGAGGTTCAAGCAGGTCACCGGCCAGAAAATGGCTAAGACCAGATGAGAACCTGGTGGGTCTGAGCTCAAAGCCTTGGCCTCTGCACTCAGCCTCACCCTGAGATGCCTCCATAATCTCCAGGCGGGGAGGCTCTTGTGCACCCCTGCCCCACAGATGGGGAGGCTGCTGCTGCCCGTCCTGTCCTTTCCGCTGTGCCTGGCTGAGCTGTCCTCGCCACACTCCATGTGTCTTGCAGGTCCATGCCCGCTTTGTGGGGCCAGCCCTGCCCTGCTTTGGTGGGGCCCTCACCATCTGGGAAGTCAGGGTGGCAGAGCTGCAGGTCCTTGCAGGTGCGGGCGGGGTTCTGCTGCGTGCCCAGGGGCCGCTTCATCTGCTCGATCTCCAGCTTCAGGGAGTTGAGCGAGCCGAAGATCTCTTCCATGCCGTCCGCGTAGTCCACGTAGTTCTCGCCGTTCCCATCGTCCAGCAGCTGGCTGGCGTCGATGTTCCTCCGAGTCCTGGACGCCTGGATCGGCAGGGGCTGGATGACCTCGCCCGGGGGGCCCTGGGGCAGGACAGGGGCAGTGGTGGGTGATGGAGGAGGGGATGGGTCCCAGGACAGGAACAGAGCAGGGACAGCGGGGGCCGCATCTGCAGGTGCCCCCCGGGGCCTGGAGACCTGGGCTATGTGGACATCTGTCCACCTTAACACTGCTTTCTTCCTTCCTCCAGTTTCTGGAACATCCCACGCCCATCCCCACTGCCAGCTTCTTGCCAGCACTGAACACCTCTTGCCTCTAAGCCGTGCCTCTATTCCCTCTTCCCTTTCTCTCTAGAGCTGAAGCTTGACAGCATGCAGCCTGGGGCTTGCACCTGCCATCCTGCCCTCAGCCACATGAAAGGCTAAGCCTTAGGAAAGGGACCAGGTCTCCCCTCTCTTGCCTCTGCAGCCCTAGCTGGGGCTGAACACAGGGCGGCCACATGAGTCCCTCCTAAGGCAAGGAGCCATTCACTCCCTGGAGGCCCTAGCTAAGATGACCATGGGAGCTGAGACACTCCACAACCAAAGGGGGGTGTCTAAGAGTGCACTTGTGTGTCCTGGTTCAAACTGGCTTCACCCTGCACCTCGAGGGCCTTATTTAGTGCTCCCCATCCCAACACACACACCTATGCGCGCACACACACATTATAAATGTACACACACATGCACACACACATAAATACACACACATGCACATACACATTATAAATGCACACATACACACATGCACACATATCCCAGGTATGCATGTACACACATACATACACATGTACACACAAATACATGCCATGCATGCACATACAGAATATAAACACACACACATGCACATACACTACACATGTACACACACATGTGCCCCCCATATACACATGCATACCCATACACATGCACACAGACCATGTACACACATATTACGCATGCATGCACATATACACAATGTATGCACACATACAGACATGCACACATACACATATGCCCATACATTCACACACGCATATACACATTCACACGCTATGCACACACGTTTGCACGCACACAGCACACACACACACGTATCCTCTCTCTCCTGGCTAGCTGCTCTTCCAGGGCCAGTTGGCCTGTGAGCTGCCTGTGGACACCTGTGTGACTGTTTCCCTGCTGCGCCCCAGCGACGAGCCCGGGCATGCTACACGGGCTTCAGGAGTCTCAGGAGGAGTCACACACACAGTTCTTTCTCGATTCCCTCAGAGCTAGCCAGAGACCCCACCCCCTTCCTGGGCTTCAGGGGCTACTTACCGGGGGGCCTGGGGGTCCTGGGTGGCCTGCCTCACCCTTTGGGCCGGTTGGACCCTGGGGAAACGGAAAAGAATCAACCGTTGGTCACAAAGATGAGGGGACTCTGAATCCACCTTCAGCTTTAGAGTGGTCCCTGGAGACCCGTGTGGGGGAGGTGGCCCTCACAGCCACAGGAGAGAAGAGAATGGCAGAGACCCCTGTACCCCCTGGATCCCCGACAGAGAACACAGCAGCATGCAGCCCTTCCCAGCGCAGGGGCTGAGCAGCCTGCACGCTTCAGTCTGCCATGCTGGAGTCACTTTAGGATGGTGAGCGGCAGGACCTGAGCTGGGACAGGTGTCCAGGTGGTTTGCTCCCGTGCCAGGGGGCCCGCCACCCTCCCCCGCTGCCCTCCCCCACCTCCCAGGCACGTGGCCTGGCCAGGGCAGCGTGTCACTTACTGAGGAGCCCTTAGCACCTTTTGGACCAGGTGGACCCTGCAGAGAGAGGGGGGCAGAGCATCAGGGAGCCGGGCGTCAGCTCCAGCCCTACGGTGCTCCGTGTCCTGCCCAGCCTGGTCTTACCCTCTCCCACCCATGTCCCCCTGAGGAGTCTACAATTCCACTTGCCCAGCTAGAGTGGGAGGAGGGTCGGGGCCTGGCTGGCGCTCACCCCTCAGGGAGACACAGGTGGTCCTGCCTGCATGCGGCCAGCCAACCACCTGCCCTGGCTAGGAAACCACAGCTCAGGCAGCTGTCGGGGGTGAGGGGAACAGTGGAAAAGAGCGTGTCCCGGCTTAGAAGGGGCTAACAAAATGCACCCCCAACCCTCTCTGATAGCACACAGCAGAAGCAGGTCCCCGTGGACCAGGTGCCCCTGCCGCGGCGGCTGCAGGGACGTCCTGGGAAGGATGTCCCAGCCATGTGAGACCCAGGCAATGGTGCCACAGGAGGGGCGCTAACTCCGCGTGTCTGGGCCATGCTGGCCCTGCTTCTAGAAATTGGGAGGGCTGGAGAGCCAACTACCACTTCCTCACCGTCCCCAGACACCTACGGACAAGTGGCCTCGTTCCCTGCAGTGGCCACAGACAATTCCCGCCCCGTCTTCCCTGCCCGAAGCCAGGGCTGAGCAACCCCACTGCCTTTCTTCTGTCCCCTGGAAGCCCAACGTTGAGTTAACAGGCAAATCTACCCTGGAGGCCCCAGTTCCGGCTTCTTGTGCGACTTTTCTACAATTCTCCAGCTCCACACTGAGGCCGCAAGGCTCGCCCCCACTCCCTGCCCTCGGGGAAACGACCACACCCCTCCCAGATACACACCGGCAGGCCAGGGGGCCCAGGAGGTCCAATCGGGCCAGAAGGACCAGTGATACCCTGAAACGGAGCAGAAAACACAGGTCATCACCTTCAGACAAGGCGGAGCCATGGGGCTGCCACCGTGCATCCTGCCACACCCCTCATCTCCCCCGTCCCTTCCCCAGGGTGCCCCTTTGGCCCCTCAGCAGCCTCCTGTGGCTGCTCTCTGATCCCGGGCTGTGCATGTCAGGGGACCCTTTAACCCAGGCTGGCCTGAGCATCCCCCACAAGGCTGCCAGCCCCCAGCACTGCTCCCTCGGCCGGGCTGCCAGAAACTCTCTCTTGTCCCCCAGGCCACTGAGGACTTCAGGGAATGCCGGCCGAGAAGAACAGTCAATGGCATGGAGGACGATGGCCAAAAGGCAGGGCCTGCACTGAGCTCCATCCTTCAGCAATGTCCCGCAACCTTTCCGCGGCCCACAGTGGGGGCGCCACCTCACTCCCAGCCTCCAGGGGCTCTGTCTGCTCCTGGCCCGTCCCCCGCATTCTATGAGACATGTGTGCTGGTAGGCACAGCGTGCTCTGCGTGTGTGTGTCTATCACACCTTGCTCGGGATGGAAAGATTCCCACGTGGGAATGAGGACCCATGGCCCTCATGGGGGAAGGACAGAGACTTCGAGGGTCACCTTGTCCCCTCTCCTGCTTCCATGGCATATGTCACCCTCTCCAGGCCACTTCCAAGTCGCTCAGTTGGACAGAGTGAAGCTGTCTGCATGGGGTCTCCTTGGCTATGACTTACAGAGGCTGCAAACTCCCATAAGCTACAGTGGCTTCCAGGGGTGTCTGGGGGCAGCTGGGGGAGGTGGAAGCAGGGGCCTGAACCGCCGCTCTGCCCACAGCCCTGGCAAACATGGCTGGTTGTCATCAGTGACCTCCTGGGCAAGCGGCAGATGACGGACAGGCTTTCCCACCAGCTGGGAACCGGGCAGAATGACCTGACTTCCAAGTCCCTCCAGCTCTGGGGGCCGCCACGGTCATGTGGAGGAAGCTCCGCCTGCCAGTCTGGGCATGGGGCTGGGAGACAGCTCTGCCCAGCTCCCTGTGCACCTGGGTGAGCCCAGCCCTTCCACGTTCCCATCTGCCAAGCAGGATGACCGGACTCAACCGACATGTGGATGTCCCTCCGGCTCTCATGGGCCTTGGGTTCCCAGGTGCCTGCCCCAGGGATCTAAAATGCCGCTCGACAGCCCACACACAAGAAGTGCCATCTCACGCACCTGTTCTCCCTTAGGACCGGAGGAGCCCTGGGGGCCGGGGAGACCACGGTCGCCCTTCTCACCCTGTTCACCCGGAGGACCGATGAGCCCGATCAGGCCTGGGTGACCCTGTGGGAGAATGAAGACAGGAAGGGATTTGAGGAGCCACATGTCACCCGTGCCACGGCGGGCCAGTCGGCACACAGCCAGCCACGGCACAGGAACCTCAACGTCACGTCAGCCTCCCGGGATGGGGAACAAGCTCAACAGAGAGGCTGGTGATGAGACAGCAGGTCCCAGGCGGCCCTTCGCCGGCCAGAGTCCTGTCTACAGACAGACAGGGAGGCACGGACACAGACAGACGAAGTGATGGACGGGTTTCCGGAGTGGTACCGTCTGGCTCTTTCTCTTCACACACACTCTCCGTTTCTGTCTGGCAGACCCCCACGCCTGCTCCTCTCCGGAACTAAAGCAGAGGTTGTGGGCTGACAGAGAGAAAGGTGCAGAGTACAGGAGACACCACAGTCATCTGCTGCTTTTTTAAAAAGAAGAATCCATGACAGGTGCCGTCTCTGTCTGTCTTCTAGGAGCCCACGGAAAGCCCCACAGGGACGCCCCAGCTCTCATTCGCCTCGGGGCTGGGGGCGCGGCGCGTGGTGGCAGACGTCAGAGTGGAAATGAGAGGGCCCTCGCTGGCTTTTGCTTCATATACGACCATCTGGCTCCTGAGGACCTCTTATGTTTGTGAATAAATCAGTGCAGTAGAAAACAGTCCCCAGCAGCTAGGAAAAATAAAAGGCTTTGCTCCTGCTGCAGAGATGCCCCCACCCCGCCTGCGGGCAGGATCTGAGGCCGCTGAGCGCAGGGAGAGCAGCGGCTCCTGGAGCCTGGACGCCCATCAGCCGGGGGCTCTGCCTTGCCGGAAGGTTCTCCATCAACACCGCAGGTGCCTCCGGGATCCCCTAAACTGCTCAGGACTCCCCAAAGGCAGGGTCCAAGCCTCACACACAGCGTGTCTATTTCCCTTTGTTTCATCACCTCTCGGGGGACCCACAACCAGCCTGCAGTGGGTGCTGGACACATTCGGGTGGCGGATCAAGGGCTTGTTGAGTTTGAAACCCAGGGTCACAAATGCGAAGGCCCCAAGTCACAACTGCCAGGGAGTGGCGGCGGCTCTTACCTTTTCACCTTTGGGACCAGAATCTCCTTTGAGGCCGGGAAGTCCTGGGGGACCCTATGGGAGGAGGCAGAGAGATCACAGTCCTCATCCCACAGGTATCAGGCGGCAAACTCACCCCTACCCTACCCCGACCATGGGGCATGTCACTCACCATGGGGCCCGGGGGACCATCTGGGCCTGGGGATCCTGGGAGACCTTGTTCACCCTGAAACACAGACACGCTCCCCATGAGTCCCTGAGCCCCTTGTCCCTCCACTCAGCACACTCCACCCCTCCCAACCTACTCACCACAGGGCCAGGGATCCCTCGAAGGCCATCAGGACCAGGCTTCCCAGGGGCCCCCTGGGGGCCAATGGGGCCAGTCTTCCCAGGAGGGCCTTCCAAGCCGGCTTCTCCCTGCAGAGCGGCAGAGGGCAGAATGGGGTTCAGGGCTCTAGGCTCCAGGCACCCCAGCCCGGGACCACTGCTCGGAAACCCTGGGCACCTCTGGGAGAGCACTGGATGACCCCAGACATCCAGGGCTGTCCTGATTCTCCACATTCCTTGTGGAGCCTGCCCTGGCCAAGTCTCCATCCCGATCATTTCCCCAGCCAGTAGGGATCCCCAGCCTCTGCTGACCACGCCAACCACAGCCCAGTCGTCACAGGGCCACTGCCGAGGCAGAGGTGAAGCCCCTCAAGCTTCCCGGTCTCACTTAATGACAGGCGTCTCCAGGAGGGAGGCAAACAGCCCCAGGCCGGACCGCCATCACCTCGCTGAGAGAAGAGCTTCCCGTGTGCTCCCGGACCAGGCCCCAAGCTAACTGTATGGGCAATGGCATCCCATCATCTCCAGGTGCCCCGCACCAGACAGTCACCATCGGACACGGTCCACTTCAAAGCTCAGTGGCTGGGGCATGGCCAGCTCGAAGACCAGGCACGAGGTTGGCGGGTGCCAGAGGACAGCAGAACTCAGCCCTGGGCTCCCTGACTCCATCACCCCCCACCCCGCCTCCTCCCTCAGGCTGGCAGGGCAGACGGTCCCAGTCTTGTGGCCACCACGTGGCTGCCTCCTCCAGAGAGAACCAGGTAGGCCATGAGCCAGGTGCCCCTGGGGTGGCCACTCTCGGCCTCCGTGGCCTTCTCTGCCCACACGTTTATCTACTCCCCACCCACTGGGCTCCCTTCGGGGAGGTCTACGTGGTCACAGCCTGGCCCCAAAGCATGTTACCTTGGCTCCTTTCTCTCCCTGTCTGCCTTCGGGGCCTGCAGGGCCTGGGGGACCCTGAAACAAGCAAGGGAACAACAGGTGGTGAGCGTGGCCTGCGGTGGCAGAGCGTGGCCTGCGGTGGCAGAGCATGGCCTGCGGTGGCAGAGGGGTGAGCTCAGGGTGTGCTGGGCAGGAGGGCAGGGCGCAGGGTCACGGAGGCTGCTCCCAGGCTGCCTGCAGGGACACGGGGCCCCAGCACGAGTCCTACACACTCCAGTTCCAGGTAAAGGCCTCTCGGGCCACGTGGGAAGACGCAGTGCATGCCGAGAGTTCCACCTGGCCTCCTGTTTCCCGCAGCCCCAGCAAGTGGCTGGGCCGCTCAGTCTGCAAAGGGTGCCTTCTCTTTTTATTCTGGCTTTTCGGTAAAACCTGAGCCGGGGACAAGGACTTTGCAGCTTTGTGGGTCTTTCTCCCACAGTGGATACACTGACGGTGTCAGCAGCCAGCCTGTCCTAAAAGGAGCAGCTGTGTGGACCTGGCACGTCTGTGATTTTGTGGTGATGTGGTGGAAGCTGAGCAGAGAACATGCCGCCCCAAGCCCTTCCTCATCAGTGCGGCTTGGAGCACCCAGGGCCCAAGCAAAAGACAACAGGGAGGGGCAGGGTGCTTCATGCACGGCGCTGACAGCCAGGACGTGCTCACAGAATTATTTACCCTTTTTCCTGGAGGCCCGGATGGGCCTGGTTCACCAGTAGGGCCGGGGGATCCCTGGTATTGGGAGAAACAGCAGTGAGTCAGGAATTGAGGACCGTTTGAATCAGTCGAGGCAAAACACGCAGAGATTTCGGTCTACCGTCTGCTCAGCCAGCTCTGCAGCTGCTCTCTCTTCCTTGCGGGCTGGCACAGAGGGTCCTCAGAGAGCGTCACACCCAGACTGTGACAGCGTAAGGAACCCCGACTCCCATCCCCTGGGTTTTCTGCATTTTGGAAAAGAGCTTTCCGACTCATAGTGCTGACTCTAGATACACCACGATTGATTCAGTCCCCACAACCCGGGCAGGGAGGAGGCACTGGCATCCCCTCTGGCAGAAGCAGGGACACAGGCCGCGCAGTGCTGGAACAGGGGCAGCTGTCGGGGAAACTGAGCCCGGGGCTCCATCCCTAACCCCTTCTCTGAGTGGACGCTCCTCTCAAGTCGGTTACATGGCCTCTGTCCTTGGTCCACGGTCCCCTGTGCTTGGCCAGGCTGGGTGCAGGGTGGGGCAAGGGAGCCTATGAGGCCTCAGGGGCCACCTTCAGGCCCAGTCCTGCCCAGGGCCGTGGGGGTCGGTCTGTCCCAGAGAGACAATCTGGGCTTGATGCAGTGTCTACAACACTCAACGTCAAGCGTGGGATGCAATGTCCAGTGTGATCTTGGTCAAGGTAAGGCAGGAACAGCTCGGTGAGGGGGGCCACTGGCCCTGCCAGGCGGGGCTGTGGGTAAGACCTGATGTTCCCGCACAAGCCCGTGGCAGGTTGTGGAAGCCCTGCTTCTGGGACAGCACATGCATCTCAGAGGGAGGTCATGAGCCCGTCACTTTCCAGAATCAATGTCGTAAGGGAAGCAATATTGTATGGGAATCAATATCATCAAGGAATCAATATCAACTAGGTTGGAGTTTTTCCCAGAAATGAGCCAAACAAGGTGCAAAGTCCCAAGAATACACTGACGCCTCCACCAGGAAGCCGGCCCAGATTGCAGACTCACCGTCTGTCCGGGTTCACCATCGTCTCCTTTGTCACCAGGGGGACCATCTTGACCCTGTGAGGACAAAAGCGAGCTCCTTGCTGACCCCCAGGTGGCACCCTGATCTCCCAATGCATCTCCAGCCCCTTCCCAAAACCCCAACCCATCCCAGTGCCAGCACACAGCATGCTCAGGGGTCAAAGGCATTTTCTTCCTTTGATCACCAGAACATGAGGGCCTTTTGGGAAGCTGCCTGTCCCAGCGACAGTTCATCAAAAAGAACAACCAGAAAGAGGGGAAATGGGGCTGGCAGGGGCAGGCCACCGGATACGTTTTGGGTATCTGGTGGCTTTGCCCTCTTGAGCACCTACCGCGGGGCCAGGCTCTCCAGGGGGACCGGGATCTCCAGGAAAACCCACTGGGCCCTGAAAAGAACAAAGAAAGAGGTGGCCACGGCCATCGGCAACCTGACTGAGACCACGTGCGGCCGACCACGTCACAGCCTCAAGACGGCCACCTGCCACCATCCAGCTCCTAGGACTTCCTAGCAATCCCAACACCCCAGTGCGCTTTATGGCCCAGAAACCCTTCCCTGTGCAGCACCTCCTGGAGCCAGCAAGCCCGGCCAGCGGCCATGGCCACTGGTCACTGGCCAGTGGTCAGCTGGTCTCTTGATTTCCAGAGCCCTGCCAGGGGCAGGTGTTCTACCCACAGGTCCACTCCCGGGAGCTCCAGGCTGCAACTAGAACCCGGACCTTCAGACTTCAGGAATGTTCCTCTCCAAAGCCCCTCCTGATGCAAAATCAGGGCCGGCCACGGGCAGGGGCATCTTCCCAAAGCCTGGCTGTCACTGGCACCTCTCAGCCGGCCGCCTGGCCCACAGAGAACCGCCACTCAGGGCCTTCTCCACCAGGCCACATCTCTGTCTCATCTCCGCTATGTTGGTTCAGTAGCTAGTATGACAACCTCTAGTGTCTAGGAAAATTACCCAAGACATGGACTTGGTCCTGAAGCTATTCTCTGAGCAGAGTGCACGGCCAGCGAGTCAGAATGAGCCCGTGCAGAGCCCCGCCCCTGCTGCAGGCCCCCGAGGCGTGACCGGACTACTCACAGGGCTGCCTTTGGGACCGTCATCTCCGGGAGGGCCTTTGGGTCCAGGGGGTCCAGCAGCACCCGAAGGGCCCGACTCGCCCTTCTCTCCCCTTTCTCCTTTGGGTCCCTAGACGGAAGAGGCCAGTGTCCAGGTCTCCGAGCCGACCACATCACCACACAGAGAGCAAGGCAGGTGCCTGTTCACAGCGGGCCTCCCCGTTTCTCACCCCATTCAGACCACCCTTTCCGAGTCTCTGCCGAGCCCTGCAGGGATCCAGATGCCAGGTCGCTCCCCCAACCCTGAACCCCAATCCAGAGTCAGCCCCTGGGTGCACCCCGAGCAGGGCCTGAGGAGCCTTCGCTTTCTGAGGCCCTCAAAGGCTGAGATTCAGTTCTAGGTGGGAGGGACCGACTGACTCCTGGACCGGACACCTGTCAGTGAAAACCATGAGGGGTGCTCGCTGACCCCAGATCTCATGGGGAGGGAGAGCTCGGACCCCAGGAAACCCGAGTCCGCCCAGCTGGTCCTGGGCCTGAGAGCCACCCTCAGGCCGGCCTCACAGGGAATATTCATCCAGCCTGCGAACGCCTGGATATTCCTAGTTTGGCCCTCAAGGTCCAGGGGGACAAGGTGACAACAGCCAACCTTATATTTATGGCAGCCCATGAAGGGGGTGGGAGCAAACACTATAGAGGGCAGAGTCCCTGCAGGCCACTGGGCAGAGGTGGTCATCGCTAGGTCTGCGTGCACATGCGGGCACACACAGGCACACATGTGCACACACTCACTCCCCCATCACACATCTTGTTCGAGGTAATTCCACGAAATGGGCAAGGGAGGGGTTACAACTCCCATTTCACAGATGGAAAAACTGAGGCAGAGCTGGAGCCTCTGACCCAGCACCCCAACCACAAGCCTGTCGGTCGCACCCCGCCCCTCCCGCAGTGCCCGCTCACTCACTCACCGGGGGGGCCACCTTCTCCTGGAAGGCCAGGCTCGCCTGCTTCACCGGGCTCCCCCTAGGGAGACAGCACGGGTAGTTACGGCAATGGTGAGCACGCGACGCGTGCAGTGCTACAGTTTCCAGCATGTGCCAAATCCCGCCTGCTGCCCGCCTGTGCCTGGGCACCAGGGACCCAGGGGTTAGTGGTGCAGTGGTTGCTGTCCCCAGGTACTCCTGGAATTGGGGGGTGTGAGGCATGTGGCAGGCAATGACAGACGCAGGGCAGAGTATCCAGATTGCAAGCAACACCGTCCACGAAGGCTTTCCTGGAGCACTGCTTCGAGGGTTGTGGAGGGTGACAATGAGAAGCTGGTAAGGGGCTGGACGGCCCTCCAGGCGGGGGACAGCCAGGGTAGAGGCAGGAGGAAGGGCACACAGTCCTCGGGACATGGGCCACAGGGACGCAGGGAAGGGGGCACACACGGTGGCAGCAGGTGAATAGGGCTGTGCACCCTATGGTGGGGACGCCGAGGAAAACATCGCCTCTCTGCACAGAAGCCGTGCACCATCACCCTGTGGTCTCAGCAGGGCATATTTCTTTTTAATTTCTGTGTCATAAAAATGAGCAGTGGTGGAAGGCTTCTTCCAATTTAATGGCCTGATGGATGTCAGAAAAAAAGTTCTGGGCCAGGCACAGTGGCTCAGGCCTGTAATCCCTGTACTTTGGGAGGCCGAGGCATGTGGATCATGAGGTCAGGAGTTCAAGACCAGCCTGGTCAACATGGTGAAACCCCCTCTCTACTAAAAATGCAAAAGTTAGCTGGGCGTGGTGGCACATGCCTGTAATCCCAGCTACTTGGGAGGCTGAGGCAGGAGAATCGCTTGAACCAGGAAGTTGGAGGTTGTAGTGAGCTGAGATCATGCCACTGCACTGCAGTCTGGTGACAGAGCAACAGAGCAAGACTCCATCTCAAAAAAAAAAAAAAAAAAAGAAAA